GATCAGGGGGGCATTCCTCCAAACCACATCTCTCCAGGTTTCACTGTCATTACCCATGTGAGCGTTGAAGTCCCCCAGCAGAACGAGGGAGTCCCCGTTAGGAGCGCTCTCCAACACCCCCTCCAAGGACTCCAGAAAGGGTGGGTAATCTGAACTGCTGTTAGGCGCATAGGCACAAAAAACAGTCAGGACCCGTCCCCCCACCCATAGGCGGAGGGAGGCTACCCTCTCATTCACAGGGTGAACCCCAACGTACAGGCACCGAGATGGAGGGCAATAAGTATGCCCACTCCTGCTCGGCACCTCTCAGCATGGGCAAATCCAGAGTGGAAGAGTGTCCAACCCCTCTGGAGGAGACTGGTTCCAGAGCCAGACCTGTGCGTCGAGGTGAGTCCAACTATATCTAGTCGGAAACTCTCACTCTCACACACCAGCTCAGGCTCCTTCCCCACCAGAGAGGTGACRTTCCACGTCCCTAAACCAGCTTCTGTAGTCGAGGATCGGACCGCCAAGGTCCCCGCCTTCGACCACTGCCCAACACACATTGCACCTGACCCCTACGGCCCCTCCCACAGGTGGTGAGCCCATGGGAAGGGGGACCCACGTCTCCTCTTCGGGCTGGGCTAGAGGAGTAAAGACCAGGGAGGAGTGAGGAAATGGGAGAACCTACTAATAAGATCTTTAAAAAGGGTTTAATTATCCTTAATTATTCCTATTTCTTTTGTTGTGACACCATTCGGTTATGTTCTGTSTTTTGTCTTTGTCCTAAATGTATCAATAAAAAAGGAGAATAAAGTTTTTGCAGCGATTAAAGAGAACTCAGTTAATTTCTATGAAAAAAATTATAAAAGTATAAACGTGATAAACACCAAAAGGCAGAGGACACGTGAGTGAGCCGAACGTTTTGATCTCTGAACGACTAAAATAATCAAAAACTTCCTGAAGTAGGTAGCTTTAAAAAAAACTGTTGAGTGTGTGCTGACTCAGCGTTTTGTTTGAAGGTTTGATGCTCTGGCAGAGGAGCCGAGGGGAGCGGTGCTGGACAACATGTTCATGGGAGGAACCTGCACCATCAGGAGGCCAGAGAGCACCTTACTGTACCATCGAGTTCCTCACAACTTCAAGACCTTCGACATCAAGGTTTCTGAGGAGAGAACCTCCCACTTTGTGAACTCTTTGTTTTTGCTGCCTCAGATTTCAGCTCGTCTTTGTGGTCGTTCAGGTCGGAGTGTTGGACGACTTCAGCACGGAGCTGCAGCCGCTGAGCACCGAGTCCGTCAGCGCCAAGACGTCCTCGTCATCGAGTTCAAGCCACAAAACCCCAGGAGACTTCCTGTTTGTCATCTTTGCATTAGTCAGCTCACAAAGATCAGGTTTCACCTCCAACTCAGCTGCGTTTGAAGCTTCGAAGAAAAAGGTGAAAACTACGATCTTCACTGATTAAAAAAAGTTCACTCCTCAACAACCGGATCAGAAATGTTGAATTTAAAMGGGAGGACTCATAAAGTCTGGTTTAATAGGTCTTCTTTTGCCTCAGAGCTACACGTAATCACAAATATTCGGTAGTGGGCACAGTTTTGCTAAAATAGCTAATAACGGCTAACAGCTAATAGCGAACACAAATTTTTGTTTAGACGGTTAGTGTTTTGGCTATCATTGAAAACCATCAGCRGACCAATTAGCATTTGTTAACTTTRAGTTCACTAAATAAAACAAAAACAACTGTCCCCTCACAGCCTGCATCATGCCCTTTGTGTAATAGTAGCATCTTTAGCATCTTCTGCTTCCACCGCTGGTGGTTTTAGCTGTTTGGTGGAGAGAAATGGTTTTATGAGATTTTGGCTAAGACCAATGTGTTTAAATGACAGACTGTGAGTTAGCAGTTAGCATTAGCTACCACCAATTACTTTTTACATGTTTAGTGGCAGTAGTGATGCTAATTTTCTTACACAGTGGGTTGGTGGTTAGCGCAGCTACATTTTTGGTTAGCTGTGCCCACCACTGCTAATATCTACCTGGATATCATCCACCTGATCTAACCATCCTTCCATCTGTCATTCATCCATCCATCCATCATCTATCCATCCATCCATCATCCATCCATCCATCCATCCATCATCCATCATCCATCCATCATCCATCCATCATCCATCCATCATCCATCCATCATCCATCATCCATCCATCATCCATCCATCCATCATCCATCCATCCATCATCCATCCATCATCCATCCATCCATCCATCATCCATCCATCATCCATCCATCCATCCATCATCCATCCATCCATCCATCCATCCATCCATCATCCATCCATCCATCCATCCATCCATCCATCATCCATCCAT